CAACTTGTATTTGTCTTTCCAAGTTAAATCATTAAAATGTTTGTCCAAGTGTTGACGCAGAGTCCCACCATCGGCTAATTCAAAAATCATATGATAATTGTCATATCTATCTATTGTGTTAAAAAAAAAGGAATAAGGACTCCTTGTGCCAAATCAACGAAATTGCCGTTTACAACATACCGTTATATAGACCGACAAACCGAATAATGTTGGGATGATTGTTCACAAGCTTGTGATGTTTTAGCTAACAATGTTTGCATCAAAAATTAGTCCATGCATACGTGAAAGTGACGGCATAACGGCTAGTAATCAATAGCAACCTCCTTGACAAAATGCCGACGCCAATCTTCACAATTACTGTCTCCATTAGGAAACAACGTCTTCACTGCAACAGTAATGCCAGAGATGTTTTGTTTCTTACCCAAGATCGTCTTGGCGATGTTTCTAAAACGACTTTCCTCTTTTATCGTTGCTTTATAAACCACTCCGTATGATCCATGGCCAATATGTAAAGGATCTAATTCGATATCACTTTCTGTACAACAATGAATGTAACCTTCTTGAATGCTCTTGTTAAACCATTCTTTATATGAATTCTTGGTCATTTGAGACATGTTAGTAATGGATGGAATAAACTGATAAACAAAGCGGGCTTAGTAGTTATGTAAGATGTAGTGTAACTGCTCGGAGTAAAGCTGTTCTCTAGTATTGCAGACTGGTTAGACACACTCAAGAAGATACTTGATGCATAGTCACTTGATTTTATCAGGTAAAATTAATAACTCCCGACACTTTTCCGACACTTTACTTTATAGATGGAAGGGCCATTTATCAAATTCAGGAATAATAAAATTCCTGAAATTTGATTGGCTCTCGCACACTTTTACGTCACTTCATAAAAAAACCCGACGGATAAGCATTGCGCAAATTTTGTAACCAAGAATTCTAAGACTTTTTGCAGATCTGGTCGAAGAACATAGTCAAGCTAGACTAAGGGGTCTTGTGTGAGCATATGACTAATTGGAAAACGACCAAGTCTTACATTCATCGTATAACGACTATAGTTACAAGTTCAGGATCTTGAAGACACTGCATACCATGAGATCTATTGTGCGATTTGGTTTATAGATATGCGGTTCATTTAACTTACGAACATCGGATATGACGGGTCGAATCTTCAATCGCACTTTCAGTAATAGTGTTCTCTCTTCTCCCATTTCACCCCCACCCTCTCTTTCTCCTTTCTCACGCGCTGAATCATCATCATCCCAACTCTTCGAGCTCCGTGATTTCAAAGATCAATGAACAATCATTTCTTTAGTTTCTCTAAGTTCATAAATAATAACCAACGTACGCTTGTGTACAGATCATTATATAGCGCTCGTGAGGCCAGCTGTTTCCCATCGACAGCAACTGGAGTAGTTCCTTTATTTATCCTCGATCACGGTATTATGTATAGAACTAAGTAAGTTTTTATGTGCCCGTCATCAAGCAACAATAACAATTGCAACGTTGTGGTTGGAAATTTTATGTTCATACGTTTTAGTATTCGAGTAAAGCAGCAAATATCAATTGTATTTAAACCCATGCGTGCTCAATAAAGAATTTGAAAACCAATTGTTCTTAGTCATTTGTCTGTAATAAATGCATCTTTGTGTAGAGAGGATTTTCCCAACATAAGGTTAACCAGCAGAAATATATTATTGTCTAGTGCCTAGAGTAACATTTGGTAGAATAAGCCCTCGCGTCTTTGTGTACTGTTAATGCAAACGAATTTTGCAATGGAAATTGTGTGTGCAATGGTTTTTGTAGAAGCAAGAAGTTTGTATCGTTGCTTCTGCTCTAGTCGGTTCACTCCATGCATAACATGGGGATACTCAGAGGATGTCGACACATCCTCTTGCATTGATGCTGTTGTGATAGTATTTACGGTTACAACATTTCCGTAAATCTCCGCGTATTAGTATTTCCACGAAGAAAAACCCAACTAATGGTCAATTTGAATATATATATATTCCCAATTCACGGTTAGTAAACGACGTAGGTCATCAGATAACATTAAATCGTAAACAGGAACAAAAAACCTTTTATCAATCTATCCTTTTTGGACGAACTTTTAATTCATACTCCATCGCCAATAACTACATCAAATTTCCTTCCTCATTCCGGACATGCCTGTTGTATGTCTGATTGGAATTGAATATCTATGAACGCGACGTATTTTATTATTTATTATCAAAATAATGTACGAATATATGTTAATCATAATGTATCGTAATACTCTAATTCCATAGTTCTCACATATCAAAAGCTAATCATTTGTTTCAGCAAAAGAAATGAGCTTATTACAATCCGAACTTTTCGTTCGCTATTATTTTCTTTTAATATTTGAATAATATTGCTTACTGATCGGGGAGTTATTTGATCTTTTTTTCCTTGCAAACCTCCGACAAATATGGCGTATAATCGTCAAAGAATCAATTTCACGATAACGATATTATGACAAATTTATTAAAAAAAAAAGACTTCCCAGAAGCCAATAGATGTTATGTCATGACAAATGACCATTGAATAATGTTATTAGGTACATGTTTCTTTATGTACTATTGCGATTTACTCCATGCAGCTCCATAGTCAAAATACTGAAATAAAAGCTGGCATTTTCGTGAATTTTCCAGAGCTTATTATGTCAATCTAATTCATACGATAACCTGCTTGATGTTTTTATCATCGTTAGTGTAGAGGCAAATGTCTTTAAACCATCAAAATATAAATATGTCTGAATTTGGCATTTGAAACTAATGTTAAGTATCGAAGCATTCTTGGAGAATTCTATAACATTATTAAAATAAACGGGGTCAAATTTTTAGTCTTTGTTTACCTGTCAAATTGCAATATTGTATATTAATTAAACAAATATCCATTAAATCCAAATATTCTAACCGTATTGTACCAATAATTTCAATGCAAAATCACCGTACGATTAGATGATTAATTAACATTGACAAAAAGCGACCGCATTTACTATCCAACCGTAAACTTCTAATTTCAAGAAAACAATCGTGTGACAGATATACGTGTATACCTAACAAACAAAATTGTCATAACTAAATACATTAATTATAAGTACAAGTCTATTGGTAACTAAAAACTCGTCGTAAATTACGTCAGCTTATATTTTTCTATTGCGCGATTAAATATTTATATCACGTCGATCAGTTGAACCAATAAAAATAATCTATAGTAAATCGCAAAGTCGATATAACGGATTTTACAGGACTCCGTTATATCGTGACAATCCGTTTTATCGATATAAATATTAATATAGCAAACTCAGAAAATGTTTGATATAGCGTTTTTTATTTATTACTTGATATTTATTAAGTTTGTCAATGTAAAAGTATATTCAAAAACAAGAATCGTCTGTTGTTTTTTTTAATAGGACTATTTCTTTCTTTATCAAAATTGTTTTATCTTTATACACTGACGGATAAATTTGTGCTATTAATATTACTATGGATTATAACGGATTTGGCCACTTTAGTACGGATCTATCATAAATTATAACGGATTCGACCACTTTAGTACGGATCTACTATGAACTATAGCGGACTCCGTTATAATTCCGTTATATTGAACAATGCCTCATTAAACTCCGTTTATCGAAAAAAAATACAAAACCGCACGCACCACAACGATTTATAATAATAATAAACTCCGCTATATTTTCACGCACTAAGCGAAATCCGTTATATCGACTTCTACTGTGTAATTCATACCATTGTATCGTTAACATTTTCAACAGCAGAATTTCTGCGGAGATACTTATTAATAAATTGGTGTTAGTGGCTTCCCCTGCAGCCAATAAAAAGCACAATAATTAAACGCCAACTTTATCAGAGCAAGTAAAAAAGGCTACGACCCCTACGGTCTGCAACTGTTCTTGTAGTTTTCTGTTTAAGTTTGATTTTATTCCAAAACGCGTTGACGTCGCAATGAGCCCCTCAATAAATAATGTGAGTAGTGAAAGTAGTGAAAGTACTTGCACATTGCGAAAGCAGGTACAACGGACATTCCGACCATAAGGTAGACAACACTCCAATGTCACCGTAGTTGTAAGGGTTCATTTCTCATTAGCAGACATTCCGATCGTAAGATAGACAGCATTTCGTTGTTACCGTAGCTATGAGAGCTCCCTCTGCTAATCGTAGTGTCAAGAAAACGCTAATAGGAAACCAAAGCACCTATTTTCGGCTGACTAGCAACTTTTTTCGATTCTGTCGAACCACGCTTTATGAGATTGCCTCTCAGTCTGTAGGATTCCTTCTGAAAAGAAATCTATTGCTTAGAACAATGTTTATAAAAAACTGTCGAGTTTGTCAAAGTAAATACTCGACTTTGTTAATAGAAAGCGCGCATAAGACGCGCGAAAAAAAATGCGCGTGATCACCGAGGGCCGTTCTCGGAAATCAGGTGAGCTAGTACCTCGTTTAGCGCTTGCGTTTTTGGACCGTTGTCGAGAAACTATGGGTCACTTAAGATATTTCTAAAACAAACGTGTGCTTCATCTGCAATGGCATATCTGTAAATGCACGATCTCGCTTACCAGAAACTAAATTTTCTCTCAAATCGTCAAGGCCCCGCCACGTGGCAATTACGTTGATTACGTAAGAACCTCACTAGCCAAGAATGAGCAACAGTAAAAATATATAGACCGCACAAATTAAATTATTTATTTATATCATAGTTATTAATCGTTTCATTATCAAGAAACAACATCAATTATAAAAATACGAATTATCTACAAATTAATAAAGTTTTTTTCCCCCATACTGTCCAATATTAAACATTTAAAAGATTATTGAATATCTCTGGATTCTTGGTAAAGTCAGGTAACTTTCCCAATGTATCAACCCATTCTCTCAACTTTGGCTTCTCCATTCCTTCAAATTCCCTGCTCTTTCCGATTACTGATATTCTTTTAATCAGCATCAAGTCATCCTCGCTTACAAACTCGTCCTCGTCCTCGTCTTCGTCTTGTCTTGCATCGTTGACATGAATTTCAACCCCGTATAGCGAAGACGGGAGGTCTTCATTACTACGACGTTCTGGTGAACGGTTCCCAGGACTAGATGGACGGGAGGGAATTGCATTCCGGATAAACGAGGCAGTACGAGAGACTGCATCTGTTGCCGCTGGGTGAAAACCAAAGATCTGGAATACGTGTGGCATAGCACTGAATGCGTCCAAACAGAGAATTAGGATAAAAAGGCAGTAAAAAAAAAACAGGTTTCTTTTATAAATTTTCTTTTCTTCTTGTACTTACTCGTACACATGCAGAGTGACTTTGGTAGGCTCATGTTCATGTTGACCATTAGTACTCTCTCCTTCAAATACATCTGAACATGTCTTTGATGCTTTGTAAGCAAAGAGAATTGCTTCATCGCGCAGTCTTTCAGCATTGCCACATGTCTATTAAATAGAAAACAGTAAGCAAGAGCAATAGACTATTATCTTGACGTGCAATCAATGGGAGTGTATCCACGATACCAAGGCATGGATGGTTTACTTACCACGTACAACTGCCCGAGCCCGCCTAAATCTTTTGCCAGCAGAGGACTCACATACGGACAATCCAGTGCAGAGTTGTACGCATAATACTGAATCCTGTTCAATCTCTCTTGAAAGTTTTTGTAGTCTTTGATTGGATTAGCCGGAGAGGGTTTATGAACAATGCCATTTGGCAGATAGTCGGTCGCGGAATTCTCGAGAACGGACGGAAGAGAGTGATATAAATCTACCCAAGGAGACCAACAGACACAAGCTGCTGGTTGGGGGAGACCGGCATCGCGGAGTATTAACATGGTAGCCAATGACAAACCTAAACAAATAGAATAGTGAGAAGACATGTCTTAAGACGGGATAAAGGGGTAATCCGCGCAAAGGTGATGACGATTGTAACAATTGTAACAAAAGTATGCACAAGGTTTTGTTTTAATTTCTCCATTCTCCATTCGCCATTCGCCATTCGCCATTCGCCATTCGCCATCCTCCATCCTCCATCCTCCATCCTCCATTCTCCATTCTCCACTCTCTATTCTACATTATCCATTATCCATTCTACATTATCCATTATCCATTATCCATTCTCTATTCTACATTTTCCATTCTCTATTCCATTTTACACCATCTGTGTTTCCGTAAAATAATTACCTCCACCAGCCGAATCACCCATAATTACAATATTACTGGGATTAATGGGATTCAAACCCGAATTTGCAGGTGGTTGTATTAAATACAAGTAAGCAGCAAGCGTATCGATGACTGCAGCCGGAAAGGGAGACTGTGGTGCCAATCGATAGTCGACACTACAAAACAAAAGTTAATAATTAATACGGATTAAATGTCCACATAACAAGATGCACCAATTTTCCTACTCTAAAAAATGTAACCATCATGCATCCATCGTTTCCCCCTCTCTCTACACCGTTATTCAACCCCACCTAAAAGCACGAGCTCCAGCAGCTTTAACGACCTTGTTCACGATAAATCTACTCTGTGCCGGACTACCAATACAATAAGCACCTCCATGCACGTATAGAATAACTCTATCGACATCACAAGTCTGTTTTCTCTTCTTCTCTTCAATCCACTCGGCTTTTAAAGGTTTCTGCCGCATCGGATCTTCTCTCCACCTCCATCCGATACTCTCTTCTTGTCCACTCAACAATCCTGCCAATATATCTTCTGCTTGTGACCTGCTGGTCTCGGGGACGGTGGCCTTTTGAACGAGGATTGACGGGGGAACGACGAAATAGGTGCCAGCGGTAAACTTTTGATGGGTCTCTATGGTTTTGTGCTTACTGTGTTGCAGCAAGCAGCGCAAAAGTTCGACAGAAAGGTGCAGCTTGAGGTCCCAGGTGGTATCAGGTGTTTCATTACGATAATGCTTGTAAATCGTATTGAAGAAGGTGTGTGTCAAGGAAACCAAGTCTCTTGGATCAAGACCCATTTTTTATATGAGAATATTACTATACAAATAATAGACGACAGAAGATAAAGTTTGTCGTTTGGCAATGACAACGTTACGAATGGTAAGGCGGTAATTAAAAAAAAAAAAAAAAAAGTAAGTTGAAAGCTTTAAAGTCTTGTAAGTTGAGTTCTGCTCTTATTATATTATTCTATGGGTTAATAAATATGAAACATAATATAAACCAAATGTTCGCGTGCGCTTGACACAACTGCTTAGCAACTTGTTAATTTCATCTCCCACTTTTTATAATAATGGAGCGTCAATCAATTTATTGTTTGGGTTAAAATGGGGGGGGCAAGGGCTCGTCATGGGGTGGGTTTGTGACCGAATGTTAGAGTTGTGTCACTCGTAAGAGACACAATACACGATAAACGGTGAAAAAGAAAAATGTATTAGACAATGTGACTCGTAATTTGGGAAATGATCTTTGCATTCCCACGAGACAATATGCCGTGTAACATGAATGTACGTCTTATCTCTGCTACTGTCAATTACAACACTATTTATTTATATTTGTTGTTTAAACAAACTCGTTCTCTCTTGAAAAAGTTATAGAGCAATATTATAGTAATATCAACCGCACCAATTAGTACCAGTTTGCTAAAATTAACAAATCAACTTTCTAATAAAGGTGTTAATGTCTATCCACCGTAATTTTTTGGTTTCGACTATGCAATGACGGAGAGAGGTTTCAACTATGCAATGACGGAGAGAGGTTTCCGTAATACGTAAAGTCCGAGACCACAAAAGCCACAGCCAACCGACACAAACTGTCAATCTGGGTAAAAGGAAATTGACTACCACACACCCTTATTTCTCCCGAATCGATCAATAACGTACATGCAAGCGTTTAATTGACTGTAAACCAACAGACTATCGATCCAAGCTGCAAGCAAAAAGATTTTCAAAAAGTTTACTTGTCAATTGTAGTAATGTCTTTTTTGAGTCGTCCAATGTTGTAAGTCTCGGAAACTACAAATTAGAAAAATCCGGATGATCACCACATGTTTCTTGTGACAAATAAGCGATAAAAATTAACAAGCGGATATTCCGATAGCTGTAGCATACCAATGTCGACATAATTTAGCTTTGTTTTATTAATTCGTCGTGTCTATCAAGAGCATTCTTGTCGCTATCGAACCATTCCGCTATCTCGAAAGGCTGTACAATATCGCGTGACTAGATCTGATGTGACTGGTTTATGTTAACTCGGGCAAGGAGACCAACATGAGTTATTTGTTTGGGTTTAATGTTAAGGTTGCAGTTGCTATCACTATAATTAAGATTATGCAGTTTGTAGTAGCTGAACTTGTGTGCATATTTCCTCCCCTCTTTGATCGGCTAGAATATAATTTTATCATATGGTTGCGCGTCATCTGTTGTATTTTACGTTAACTTGTGTGGTTAAAGGGATAAGGAAAGAGAACAAGGAATTCTGACGAAAATCCTATTATAGTAAATGCACATGACAACACAATATGGAGAATAAGTTTATATTTTACCTTTAATCAACATATGCTTATGCACATGATATTAACAGAATAAAGACAAGTCTACGAGAGAGAAAAAGCCTGAGAATATGTTATGTGCATAACAACGTTGTTTTGAAAAAGTATAGCGAATAGGAGCAATTCACTCTGTATCGATTAAATGTAAATACCAAACATTGAAACACACTATATATGGTTAGATACGACTCTTTATCGCAACTAGCTAATTGTTCGTTAGTATGTGGCGTTTGTAGCTGGGAATAAGCCATTGTAGACGACAGACAGACAGACAAACAACGAAATAATAGCGTTTGTTGATGGATTCGTAATCTATTACTATTACCCTTTTATTCGAAACAATTAACCGTTTACCCCAAACTATAATTTGCTGGCTGTGAAACAAAAAGTCTTGATATGCTAGACACGACATCTTGTGACAAGATTTGATTATCTAACGTTTTTCTTTTTGAAGCCACGGACCGTCTCCTACGCACCTATCTCCCTATATTCGGTGGATGTGATAAATCAATTCAGCTTCTACAGTAGCACAAATTGCAATAAGGTTTGACTAAAGTAATCATTAGGTAAGACATATAGATCGATAATGAGATGGAGCACATCTAACGACACCTTGTGACATAATAAAGCAAAGACCTTCTACTTGTTGAATAATGCTTCCCCCGCTATGATTGTTTGAGTTACCCCTTAATTTTATGGCTGAGTATATCAGGCAGGATCAAGTTAATTACCTATTCACTGAAACATAACGAAAAATTTGTTTATCATTACAAAAACGGCAAACTGAGAAAGGATTTTAATCAACCAATAATAACGATAATAGACTTTTCTGTTTAAAGCAAGAGAATACCTATTACTATTACTGTACTAATTAATTGATAGTAGTACCTAACGAACTCGTCATCATTGATTGGTCGGAAAAGAGTCCGCAGAATACTTGATTGGCTCTGGTATATGACATGATTTTGGCTAGAACGCAAGCATAACATTCCCGATAGATAATAATTCAAATAGTACTGCTTGTTACTAATAAAGAATAGCTTAAATCACCACTGGCGATCGTAAAAGCCGAACTGAAGTAAAATCAACATATTTGCGATAATCATGACAATGATAATACTTTTATAACTCTTTGAAACGAGTTGATTGATAAATGACTTTGGTAACTGCGAATGTCGTTCAGTCTTACAAATATAGTTTACTGTGTATTATTTCTAATAATTAATTTACCGAACAAGCTTGCTTTCTCGACAACAAATCTTTCCATAATTATGCAGATTTGATTAATAAATTGTCACATGATTGCGTCTTTAATCTGTTGTTGAATTAATGGATATCAGAGAAAAGGTAACTAGAAATATGGTCGGCCATTTCAATTAATTAAATTAAATTAAATTAAATTTTGTATCTCATTGCATGACATAATAATATTATCTGATCGAGCCCTGCTTTTTACTTTTTACATTATACCTATTACGCGACCGATAGATTTTTAACAAATTGAAGACAGAACATGAAAAACAAATAGCTGTAGCGTATGACTGTGCAAACTCGGAACAAAAGTTTTGGAAACAAAGTACGTGGTTACAATGCTAAAATTAACTCTAATAATTTATATTCAAGATTCTATCATACTTACTAATTTAGGCTTTTCCATTAACTAATCTTTAATTGCTATTATTTGCAACACGATTTAAAATCGAAATTTCAAAATCATTTATATAACATTGAATGTAGCGCAATTAGTGGTCTTTTCAGACCATTGCGGGTACAGTCGAACCTCTATAAATGCAAGCCCTTGGGACCAAGCATTTATTAAGGTTTTGCATTGACAGACGTTGCCTTTAAAGGAAGGATTTTTACAATTACATGTCGTTTTATCCGAGTGCAAGCTCCAACTCTGGAAATTTAACCGGCTTATTATTATGGCATTTTGTATCAGGACTCGTAATGTCTTTATTCAGACGCTTATCACTGCTTTTTAGACGTTTGTTCAGGAATTGTTGTGTTCTAATTAACCATATTAATCCAGTTGATGTATTCTTGTTGATTATCACGGGCATATTGGCAAAGTTCAAAATTTTGCTTATCTGTCAACGTGCTTTTGCTAGATTGGTTATGTTGCTTTTTCTTTTCACATCGGACAATATTTAACATATTTGAGTCACTCACTTTTTAACATTGTATTTCGGTATAAATCGTGTGATTTACATCTAGAGAGAGATATCTATTATTGTAAGACAGGGGCAAATCTATTGCAATTGCAGAAAATAGATGTTGCGTTTATTTACTATCGGGACCGAGAAAAGCTTGCATGCATTTAGAGTGGTGTTGCACTTATGGAGGTTCGACTGTACTTTTCAAACTACGTCATATTAGTAATTATCTGAACACAAAAAAATCAGGCGATAATTTCGCCGTTCACACTAGTTACACTACCCTGAGCCTTATGTTGTAGAATGTAAACTTTCAGTTTGAACTCCCTGTGAATCAACCAATCAACATACTAACGAACACTCTTAGTTTAGCAAAACTTTCTTTTGGAACTTTGACTGAGCAACTGCAATCATGGCCTATTTCCATAAAATGAGTTGCTTGTTCACATTCAGTAAAAACAGCCATTTTTTACTATTATTCATATACAGCACTTGTTACTCTATGATTTTATTGTTTGTTTTAATACTTAGCAATTATCATCAAACTATGACTATGTTCAAATGCTACTTATAACACTGCTGTACTTGATTAATATCTTAGAAGCTATACTAATCTTTCAAAGAAAGCTCAGTCAGTTCTATGCATTTTATGTTTGAAAATGGTTTCAATTTTGACATTTCTCTGCGTAGAATTATCTGTCAGACTATCCAGTTTTTCTTTTGCAAGGCCTTTAATTACAGCAAAAAAATGATGCAGATGCTCTTTCAAAAGTTTATCATAGCAATCTTCATGGCAGCAGCCTTTTTGAGGCTCACATACAAACTCATTGATGTATATGTCATGGCCAGTTCATTATTTGATGTCACAACAGTAAAATACCATGCCTCACCTGTCCATATACATATTCAATAAAATCAATTTGTGCTTTTTATTTTGCTAAATCTTATTACCTCTGTAATATGTAGCTACCCTTTTCAATCTGAAAAGGTTTGGCTTCAGTGATACAAAGTAAACGCGTATGTAAGATACTGTAAAGTCTACTCGTCCTTTCCCCTCGGGACCAGGAATGTAGAACTGTGAATGTAAAATGACTTGTGAAAAAGTATTCACAACGGCCTCAATATAAAACGAACGCTTCATTTTATTCGCTTGTGTGAGTTCGACACTCGATTTTTTTATGGCCTTATCAAAGTGAAAAGTAAGTGACACATATATAACCCATGCCCGACTCGAAACGCGGCTAAAGTGTCGCTGATGACTTTCACACAGTCGTCACTCGTCGAGCAGCTGCAGAATCGCAATTATATCAATATA